CAGCTTACGTTAAGCAGGTCCGAAAGATCGTTGTCATCGATGCGTCGCCGTCGTCATCATGATCGTCGCCGGTCTTGTGGTAACCATGCGCGGTTCTCCAAAGCGAATTGGCGACGTTATACCGCGACGTCCTACCGTTCCGGATGATTGGTAGGACCGACTTCCGCGGCTGACGGTCTTTCCGGAAGGGAAAGGACCCGGGGCTGCGTCCACCACAGGTTGGCGCACGTTCATTTGCGAGGTGCACGACGCGCGCTCGTCGCCGAATGACTGTACATACGTCTCGAGAGTTCCACCTTCCACCAGCTAGTGTAGCGACTCTAGCCAAGTTGGAGGAGGAGAAGAGACGGAGGAAGAGGAGGCTAGAGGGGAAGCGGATAAGTGGAGGTTACGCGGGGCGATGTACACGTAAGACTGCGCGAGAAGAGCGCATGGCGTGTGCATATGCGCGATTTCGTGTCGAGGCAGGATCTCCTCCCTCGTCACGGCACAGGAATGTCTCCGAAAACGTGGACAAGTTCCTCTCGTCAGAGTATCTCCGCGGACACATCGTAAAATTTATTTAATAACCGCAAGCCATCTCGCGACCGCAAACGTGGGTAGACCTTCGTAGATATAATCGCGACACACGATATTTTCCACATCGAAAACACATTATACATCGTATAGCGCGTCTTTCTTCCTTCCTCAGTCGAACTCGAAGAAGAAAGAGACGCGAAGAATTGGAGAGGATCTCAATAGAGAGATCGCAAAATTAATATCGGAATTCGTAAGTAACTTTAATCATTGATGTAATTATTTTAATAATGTATGTCGTTCGCCCTTTTCAAAATTTGATTGGTCGCACGCATATCGCGCCTCAAACTTCTTATACTGGCCATCGATTCGTAACTAACTGTACGGGAAACATGATTATTAATCGGAGATGAAATGATGAAGAATCGCAGGAGCCAATGTAATAACTGTCGATGAAATGAGCGAATCAAATATTGAGAAAAATTTCTCCTTGAAAATGAACGAATCAGAAGATCCTGATTATATCCATCGGAATTTTGCTTATGTCAACTAGAATTACAATAGATTCAATCAGAGATTCTACAATCAGACCTTTTCTAATGAATATACATATAATAAACAGCGGGGTCAGTTGGTTAATCACAAATGACGATCAATTTATTGGACATCTGGCAAGCTGCTTGGTATAATAGACAACTCTAAAGTTGAAATCATAGACAGTTAATAAGGCACATAAAACAAACTTAAGCAGTAAGGAAATCAACATGTTGGATTCGTTACTTAAGTTATGGTACTCCCGGTAGAATTTCTTCAAGAACGAGTCACAATCCTGACACTTTTAATCAGTATTTGTTAAATTTATTCTCTGATATTTCCAGAACCAGTCTGGAAAGGGTCGAAACAGTCTTAAGTAACCAATCACAGTCAAATACGAAAAAATGTTCGACTGTGATTAGTCAATTCATACACGATTGTAGAATGGGCTCTACTGTGATTGGTCAATTCGCTTACCGCTTAAATCATACGTCTTAAGGTTTTTCTACGTGCCATGACCTTTATTGTTATACAAGAGGCAAAATTATTTAAAAGTCGTACGTAACATAGCTGTTTGCTACCAATGCCGTTAGAACACGATCGTATACACGAACGCGCAACGCGTCGCTGTTATTAACACAGGCGTCGACAGGACATTTTTTATCGGCCCCTATGGTAGCGCGTTTGCTGCGGGCACAGCTGAAGGAAATGGGAGAATATTTTAACGAAAGCGCGCTACAGTAATAGCTGTAGGAGGATCGCCGTAAGAGACTCGTCTCTTCCGCTTAGAGGGAAAACGATTAGAAATACAAATTTAAAACACAGAACAGAGAAAAGAGCTATCCATTGTGAGACATAATAAAGGTACAGTCATAGAGGGATAACGACAAAAAAGACAACCACAAATCATTACAGACGTTCATATTTTACGTCTGACGTATTCGTTGCACCGCTACTGTTTTTCGACTTATATTTAAAATTGTTTTTGATTAAAAGAAACAAAGGAAATAGAAAAAGGACCAAAGTTGAAGAAATAACAAGTAGAATTACACTGAGAAAAATATTTTGATTAAACAACTAACAAAATAAGGTCCAACAAGAATTTTGATTACGGGATTCTGATAACCAGAAATTTTGTTTGTTCTCACCAAAAATGTCATTCTTGTTGGAGCTTTTTATATTGTTTTCATCGAAACATTTTTCTCAGGATACAGTTCGTAATGCATAAATTATGTATTTGCGAACAACGCTATGTTCATGTAGGCGTTTTACCGACACTATTTTCTCCTGTGCGACCCCACAGTCTTCTATAGTCTTTTATCCCTCTAATAATTTTATAGCATCATACTGTTTACGAAACCATGAAATTTCTAATTAATGAGATCGATTGCGGGGTGCAGAGCAAGCAGGCGTGTTCCGCGAAAAAGAAGACAAAAGAACACAAGCTTATGAAGAAGAAAAAAAAACGACTTCGAATATCGATGAGTTGGAGTAAATTGAAAACAAGCAAACGTCAAGTCGCAAAGTAGGCTGATTAGCGAAATAGTAAATGTACTGCTGACCTTGAAAAATTTTCCAAAAGACCTTCTGTATTTGCTTTTAACTTTATTGCACAAATGGCACCTGGTTTCTATACGCACCAAACTTCCACCACAGGAGCCCCGGGTCGACCTGTATTTATAGGCACCCGATCGGAAGAGTAGCCATAGTCACTATCGTGCTGAAAACTGAACGCAACCCCCGGACTGTATACTTTATCGTTACTTCCGAGCGTTATCGAAGCGATGAAACTGCGGGGTGGTACACGACTACTAATCGATCGATCAACCGTTATTGTATTATAGGATTCGCGCGTTTTTCTCGTTGAACTCCTCGTCGAATCGATTGTACACAACGCGCGCCTACGAAGAAATTCTCGTATTCCTTGGATCCGCACGTTTTATACGACTGATAATAACGGTTTATTCAAGAACATATTATTATTACACGTTTATACTTTCCATTATTTTTTTTTTTTTTTTTTTTTTTTTTTTTGGAATCATGCGCAGCTGTTCCGTTACTCATTGTGTAAACGCGCGGGAATGTCTCCAACACTCGTTGTTATCGATCGAATTTCACCAGGAAACAACAGACGAAAAACGTGGAATTGTTTTATTATATTCAAATAATAAGTAACGTGTTGGGCAACTTTCGGAACTGTGATGCGCTCGTTTCGATAGACTCCAAGGACTTTCAATGCACTCACGTAACGACGTATACGCGATGAATCATCGCATCCTTCTGCCTTCCATTTTCTGTCTTTACAATATAAAGGAAATGGAAAACCGACATACTCGATCTCGTCTCTCATGCCTTCGATATGCTGTCGATTATCAGGAATAAAGAACGACGTGGGGAAAGTTTAATACGCAAAGTTTAATGTACAATGTTCTCCCGTCGTTACTCCAATTTACAACGGTTGGCATTCAAAGCATTTCGATTTTCCTCATAGTACTCGCGGTCCTAGCAAATTTCCTCGAACGCGTTGCAGCAATTTTGAAATTTAATATTACTAAATACAATATTATAGTACCTATCCAATAGTTGTTTCAACGTAAATCTAACGAATATATATATATATACATATATAGAGCTGATAAAGAGAAATGAAAGGAAAGGGAAAGATTCAGTAAAAGACACGATTGCTGATTCGCCTGAAAAAGAAGAAGTAAAAGAAATTTTCTTCCCGGAGAAATTCGTGACACATTCCACGGCAAGTGAGACCGATCCTTTGTTGATCCAAGATACGTAATAAAGTGTAAGAACGCGGAGATGTGTTACCTGCTTATCTTCCGTTCCTTGAACGTTTAACACAATGAAAGGCTGAGGCATAAAATAAATCTGAAACGGGCCGAAAATACAGTAGGTATTGCCTAGGTCGTTTCATAAGTATATTAATTATATCCTGTCATTTCCATTTTCTTTTTCTCATTGTGTTTCGCGTACAGGCGCACGTTCCTTTTTCCGTCGGGGTCAAAGTCCGCTTTTGCCTCGGTCTGTATGTCGAAACGTTGCTCCTCCTCATGCGATCATCACCGTAATTTTGGAAATGTAACGGAAATGCTCGAACGCGCGCATATGAGTCCACGTATTTCCGTTACATTTATATGTATATACATTGTATATATTAATATGTGTGTGTGTAGAATTATATTACAATTCGTCCTACGTCGACGAAACAAAAGCCCCTTATCTAGGCGCTGATAAGGAAAAAATAGTCTTTCCGCTATTAACAATTATTATCGGTATCTGCTAAATAATGCCAAACGGCTAGTTGTCGTTATCGCAAGCGCATTTACTTCGCACGCACACATGTACAAATATGGGACATGCATGCACGTATATTATCGTATTTACAACTTAATGGCAGCAGCAAGTAAAGACAATGAATCGCTCTATTATTACAATGATGTAACAACAATGAATTATCGCGGTGATGTGGAAGCCCTGGGACTCTCAACTGTTAACAAGGAGAGAAGGTGGAGACGACGCTCTTTGCACGGTTTATATAGGTCACGTAATCGCGAACGGTTCTTACATTTGAAAAGGTGATAACTGCCATGTCGAACGTTCGCGAAAAACCTTACACTGCGTGTTCAAAAAAAAAAAAAAAAAAGAGAGAAAATGCGAAAGAAGAAGAGCAAGTCGTTTCTTAGTTGTTCTCGTCAATTACACTCCCATTGGCGTGCAATGTCATACCTTTTAATCGACGATTAATTATGTCAGAAAGATTAATTATGTAAGAACTTTTATTATATAAAATTACATTACGGTCGTTTTCATTGCCTCTCGAAATACCGCAAAAAGTCACGCCTAACGCAAATAACAAGGCGTTTTTCAATATTTTTTTTCTCGACCGTTAGCAGCTCTCGCGGCAATTATCGGAGTTATTTAATACAGAATCAACTTACCGATTCCTTGGACTTTGCGTTTATCTCGATGACAGTTCTCTGGAGCTCGCAATTCTGTCGACGCAGGAGAGAAATCTGTATACGATAGATAATTCTTATGTAAGTAATATATAAATTAAACCTTTGTATAAAAAAAGAAATTGTACGGAGGTTATAACCGAAGGTCATAACTATTACATATTAATATGTATGCCAATTCCTCTTCGTTTCTTGCCTGAGTGCGTGCACGTGCACGTGTCGTAGATTAAAAAATTATAACGCATTAATATTTATTATTAGATTTTACTGTTGCGAGATCATAATAAGAATTTCTTTACATTTTCGCGCCATTTCCAGATGATAAGTGAACAAGTTCATTGACAAACGAGCGAGGGCAAAAAAGGGAATTAAAAATATAAAATAATAGACTAAAAAGACAAATTAAGAGTCATAACATAAAAATTTTTATCATGTAGTCAAAAAATAAAAAAGAAACAATAAATACGAAGATATAAATAATATATAACAGAGATAGAAATTAAAAATAAATTCGTGATATTATATATACAAATTATACTGAGAATTAATATTTATTATTATTTTTACTCTTGATATAAATCATAAGAATGTTTAAAATTTTTTTTTCACGCTATTAGTTGATGATAAGCAAGCAAAAGTCCCTCGACAAGCGAGAGTAAATTGTTTGAAATGGAGGTATAGGAAATAAAAAAGTCATAAATTCAGAGTAACAATATTATTACGGTATTGTCGATTTTTACCGGATTGTTATCAAGCGACAGCCGAAACTTTCGTCGTTCGACTCGAGTAGAGATTTCTTTGTAAAATTCGGACGGAAATACGAAGCTGATCCGGATGATCGTTTAAAGCGATCGCGCCCCGACTTAAATATTAGGAAGCACAGTCAGAAGGAAGTCCGGTGGTGCCCCGTAGATACAGGACGTACGATACACGTTTACATTTGCCGCTCTTATCTTACGTTTGCATTACGATAACGCTCCCCCACCTCCCATACGATCCTCGATGCGTTATCTCACATGACCCTTGGGTACCGCCAAAACTCCCCTCCTCCTGCGGGGTTTCTCCCCATTCGCCGCGAGGTAGAAAAAGCGTCGTGTCATATAGGTAGATATGTATATAAACTGCCTCACAATCGTACGTTCTTTCACAATCCAGGAAATATCTTCGACGAGCTTGAAATCGGGCTTTCCTTTTTCTACTTTCCGGAGTGCCTAATACATATACTTCTCGTCGCCGGTCTATCAACTTTGACCGATCTAAAAGATCCGTGATCGTAATATCGTTCTAACGGATAAGGCGGAACGTGATGTTTGCTCTACACTCGTTCGCGATTATTGGGGAACGCGACATCTGTTAAAATAATTTCTAATCATACCGTAGCTCTTTTCTCTTATCTAACCTAGCAGACATCTGTGCGTATATCAAGTGCGATTTTTCTTTATTTTTTTTTTAATGTGGGAAATACATCCATAAAGGTTAGAATATGATTCAAAAGAAAGTAGGGTATACATATCAAATTATGGATTAATTATCTGATGATCTTCGGATTTTTTCACGATTATAAATTTATATATGAAATAATTATAAAAAATATTACTTTAAAAAAAACGTGCAAATTCCAAAAAAATAACACACAACAATTATATGTATTATATAATGTATATAATATAAATTTATTTGTGTAATACAAATGCAACTTACCTCTGCATCTTTCGTGGTGAGCAGGTCCTGCAGTTGGCTGCATCTTTCGTTCGCCTCCTTCAACTCCTTTGATCGTTCATCTGATAATAAATAATGATCAAAATCACTTATCGTGGCATTTTATAAATCGTATTAATAGTTATTACGAAACTTATACTAATACTTTGTACATTAAAAAAAAACAACTAGAAAAAAATTATGAAATAAGTTATGACGTGAATTATTACGGCAATTTTTATTTAAATTCCTAATACCTATTATCCAAATAGAATATTTCGACAAACAATCATGAATAATTGTAAAAGTTAGAACAATAATAAACTATACGTAGAACTAATTTATAAAAATGATTCAGGAAAAGAAATAAAACAATCAATCTAAAACAATAATAAAAATTAGCATTAATTGCTGTTTCCAAATCTATTCATAATCTATGTAGGTTATTTAAAAAATAAATTTTAGATCAATATAATTAATAATTATCAATAATCACAGATATTGTTTGTAACAAAGAAAAAAAAAATAATGAAAATTAGTATTAATAATATTTTAAAATCATTTTCGATGTAATATTAATTATTGTTTCTAATTATTATGCACATATTGTAATATTTAATTAAAAAATGCATAAATTCTTGATTAAAGTTTTAATTATTTGCAGCAAATTTTTATATTTTAATAAAAAATTATATATAACAAAAATATATACGTTCTTTTATATTAAATAATTTCTATTTATCACTGTTTTGATGACGGTCGTTAAAAAAGATTTACAAATAAAGACACACCAAAACCACGTGATTAATGAACTCAAGCGGTAAAAATTTCTCAGTCGATAATAAATAGACCGTCATTTGACAGCCGTAACCTAACCCTTTACTGGAGAAACTACGCGTTACGAAACATCGAGACCTGGAGTCGTGTTACGATTTCGGGATATACGCACCTATTTCGTCAACAATACCATCGGATAAAACCTCTCTCGTGAGATTCGTGATGTGTCCTTTTAAACTGGAAATGCTGGATAAACTGTCACCGAACCACGCCATTTTTCGCGTTAACGGTGAACGTCAATTGTATTATTCGATAAGTACACTCGCATTTATCACTGAGAACGATCGTTGTGCGTATGACACATCGCAATGATGGAAAACTCGAATTCGTTATGTCTATGCGAATTACAAAACATGCTAACACGTACACACTTGACAGCAGAGCAGACAGATTGAAACTCTTTCTCCTCGATGAGTTTTGGAACGCACTAAATCGTAAAGCTCGAACTACTGTTATTCACGGAACTGTACAGTGAGCGATTGTACCAACTGTCGAGGTTGCTTATACGTGTGGTACAAGATGTCTAAAGTTCTAAACCTTTTTTTATAATTATATATATTTAATCTAATTTAATTTAAAAAATTTAATTTAAAAAATTGAGTATTAAGTATAATTAACAATACATCCAGCATGCGAGATAAAATTTCAACAATTAAAACGTCACAAATTAGTGATTCTCGAAAACTGAAATTCTATAGATTTTAAAAAATCGTTAAAGTTACTAGAACAAATTATTCTGATATAAATAAAATAACAAAAGAGAATTAAAATACCTGTCTTCCAAAAAATTTTAACATTTATAATTGTTGATACGTTCCAAAACTCGTTGAGAAAAATTGTTTGAATCTTCTTATAGTAAATGTTTATATCCATATAGTAAGAAACGTTACAGTAATGTTGCAGCAATGTTACTTTGAAAGATTGCGATATTTCATAAAACATTGCTACGATATTATAGCAATATTGTCCTGTGTCCGCTAAAATCAAATATTTATGCAAAAAAAACTCCGCGATATTTATGTATATAGAGAAATATTGCAGACATATATTGCTGCAGCAATTTTATTGGAATATTTCGATAATTAATTCAGTTTTTTATTAACTGTTAAAATATTATATTATTGCTTAGCATGATGACATTCTAAAAAACACACGATAAATTTATGATCAAGAAACGTCGTGAGCCCAAGAAATGTATTTGTAAACTCTAGAGAATCTTCAGGAAATTCGCTAACTGGATTTGTATACGTGTCTTCTTACAGGATTCCTGAACGTTTTCTTCTTAGAAAAAATAGGCGTCCATTTCATGACTGGGCCTCGTACTTTTGTTGAACTATAATAATATTGCAGCAATATATTGCAATTTCTACAAAATGTTAAAATTACAATATTTTACAGTATTATTGCAAATGTTTCCAAAAACAGAAATTATATTATTACAATTTATAATTTTTAAATTTTATGTTTTAAATTTTGATGATTATTATGCGAAATTTTTATAGTAAAAGAAAACTTAAAGTTTAAGCTTTACCTGCATTGTATATAAAGAATATTTTTTAAAAATAAAATGCACCGCATTTGTATAAGGATATATAAGATTATCGATAATATATGCGCCGAGTTTTTTATATTTTCCTGTTTTATTTTATATTTTTATTTTACTAAAGATTTTTATAAAATGCTAAATATATGTACAAAAAAACCGTTTATTTGTTTGCTCTTATATTCTATTTATTCTGATATTGCATTTATTATTATAGCTCAATTATGATTGCGAGGTTATTATACCTTAAAATTGTATTATTTGAGAGGAAACGTAATAATTTATAACGTACGAATTACTGCAATTTCGAAAATGTTATCATAAATTATCGATTTTCGCCGCGAGTGCGACGTCCGCGTGTTACTAATTTATTTTTACTGAAAATATACTCACCGCATGGAAATCAATGTTATTTCTGTCGTTACATCTCCCTCATTAAATACGAAGATTGGAGAATCGCTTGATGAACGCATACAAATCGCGTTTAGAGAAAGCATGGGGAGAACCTCACGAAGCATGATTTTATTTCCATTATCGTTCGAGATGTCTACATTAAAATAAGAAAGAATATCTAAGCAAAACGTCAATATAAAAAAATATAAGTCACATATAAATTATGAATATAGAAGATATAAGTTATCAGTAAGATATAAGTAAAATCAAAAGTGTACATCGATCAATGACATTAATTATGATATTTCTTAAAATGACTTCCATATGATTTTGTGTTCTATCTAAGTATATATGTATATTATAGAAAAATACAAATATCTACGAGGCGAAGTTCGCCCTGGCAAAAATAAAAATCGTAGCGTAAGTCGAATATATGTAAGGGCAGAATGGCAGAAATGTAAACGAAGCATTTAGGAGGCAAAAATCGAGACAACGAAACGTAAAAGAAACATAAACGTCTCTTTTACGTCTCAATTTTCGCCTTCTACAAGCTTCGTTTACGCTTCTGTCCCTTTACATTCGATTTACGCTCTGATTTTTGTTTCCACTAGGGCACGTATGTGTAAAGAAAGCTGTAAGGCATTCGTTCGTGTCTTCTGTTTCTCTCGATTGGTAAAGGTCTCCCGATTAGTCCCGTGAAAAGATGTTTTGCATATCACTGCAGCGCAGAAAATATTCTAAGTAATCAATAGCGTGGGTATGTACAAATATACGGAAGAAAGTTCGAAAAATAATCCGCGATTACTCGACTGACCGTGTGTGATACAAATGCGATAGCGCGTGCTTTTCATGCTATTCTCGTATATATATATATATATATATATATATGTAGCGATAGAACGAAATTGTGGCGCTGCATTTCGTAAGTAGTAACTTACTGTAACACATTTATTGATTTATTAAATGATATTCCTCCAAATGCGCGACTCCGCGAATCTAAAAGGATAACGAAATGCAAAATGCTATAAATAGAAATGTCGATAAGAGTTTAACTTTAGATCCGCGTAAACTTTAGATCACGTTACTCCTATCCCTATTAAAAAAAAGCAGATAAACATCATTTCGCACCGCGTAAAGCTCTCGCTTCTAACGTTTGCTGAGCAATAATGCGCTTTAACGTCCTTTCAACGTAAAGCTCTTTTTTTTTTATTTTCAATAGTTTTACATTTACGTCAACACTGTGCTGACACATTTCGATGCGACGAAATCGCACAGCGCGATTTTAAATAGCGCGAGGTCAACAACACGAGAGACCTCGAAGTCATTATTCTTCACTCGATAAATACCGTTTATTGGCATTTTATATTAAACACGAATTTTTCAATAAAAAAAAAAATCTTGGAACAGCTGCAACAACACAGAAGAGCTAGCTTAATTGGCTTATACGGATCTTATAACGGTATCTCCGAAAAAATTGCGCACGTGGTTTACCCCCTCGAAAATTTCTGTCGGCGCCCATGGGACAGAATCGGGAACGATGTCGACGAGCACCCCTCCTCTCCTGAGAGCGCGGCGGAGAGGGAGGGGGGAGGGGAGGCGCGAGGGTGGCAGAGAAGAAGTCCGCGGTGGTAGGGGTATATAGTCGGTGGTGGTTTCGATGATAGGGGTGGCGTATACGGGCGCGCGAGCGCCATCTGGCCGTTCAGTGCCCGGCCACCCTCGGTACATCCCGTGTGACTCGCGCTCGCGGCATCCGGATTATCGTAGCATAGTTTAGCGGGCCCGAGGATTGGGGGACACCAGTAGTGCACCGTGCCTTAAATACAGTGACCAGTGTATGCCTTGAACGCGACGCGACAAAAAGGTAATTATCATCACCCCCCACCCCCCCCCCCCC